CTCCACTGTGCCTGTGTGTCCATAGCACATGCTATGTCTGCGTGGTGCCACTGCATCCCCAAAGGTCCCTGCTACTGCCCCCAGTGGGGATGGTGGAGGAAAGCACAGTGGGGACGGAGTGTGGTACCTGAAGTGCGTAGGGACAGCCAGCTGGAAGTGTTGGGGACCACATGTGACATCCCATGGGGGACACCCCATTGGAGCCATGTCCTGTGTTTGGCATTCCATGGGGGGAAAAGTGCAGGACCATGTGCTGCCAGAAGTTTGTGTGTGACAACCAAGCCCGGACAAACTGCAAAGGACAAACCAGCGGGGACTATTTGCACAGCTCCATGTGTACAACATTTCTGGGGACCCCAACGTGCCACTTCCCATTTGGGCTGTGATTGCCACATCAGTTGGCAACATCACACCATCCTGTCCCAAAAGAGGAACTGGCAGCAGCACAACACCACTCCCTGTCCCCACTGCAGTCTCACTGTCTCCAAGCTGCTCCTGCCTCATGACACCAATGGCACTGGCCCTCATTCTCGGTGTGTGACAATGGGGATGTGATGCCAAGGGGGTTGAAGGCCCTGTGTGGAACCAGAACCGTGTCCCTTGCAGGTTGGTGGCTGGTGGCAGCGTGCAGAGCACAGCATCGTGAGTATGGAGGTGGGGGGACCATGGGGAGAGAGGGAGGGGAGTGTGGTCAGGAGTCCATCAGAGGTACACAGGAGGGTGTGCAGGGAGAAGGCTGACTGCTGTCCCCTGTCCTAGTGTCCCGACCCTCCCTGTCACTGCACCCCAGCCAGGGGGTGTCCCTGGGGGAAAATGTCACCCTGCGCTGCCACCTGCCCCAGCTGGCTGCCCGGGTCCGGCTGTACAAGGAAGGACGTTGGATACACAGCAATTACAAGTACAAGGAGCAGGACACTGCAGAGTTCTCCTTCTTGAACACAAATCGGGAGCACGCAGGTAGATATTTTTGTCAGTACCAGGTGTCTTGGTCAGCAGTGGAATCAGAGAAGAGTGATCCTGTGGAGCTGGTGCTGACAGGTGAGGGCACTGGGGACAGCAGATGGCTCTGCTTGCTCCCAACAGGACCGTGTCCCACTGCTGTCCCTTCCCTCATGCAGATCGCAGTTTCCCCCCACCCAGCATTTCCGTGAGCCCTGAGGAATGTGTGGAGACAGGGACCAATGTCACCATCCAGTGCTGGAACAAGGACTATGGGGCCGCCTTCCTCCTGCACAAGGATGGGTGCTCAGCCCCCATCCAACGCCAGGACCTCGCTGTGGTGGGCACAGCCACCTTCACCATCTTTGGGGTGACCCCAGCTGACAGCGGCACCTACAGGTGCTCCTACCGCCCCTCGGGTCACCCCTTTCTGTCCTCACCCCTTGGGAATAATGTGACTCTGGAGGTGACACCCACACCTTCAACCCCAGGTGAGTATCAACCCCATTTTGGTATTCCAGGTTCCACCCATGAGTGGCTGTGTCACCTCCTGTCCCTATGGAGGTTGTGGTTGAGATTGTGATAACGCAAACACCCGGACCCCACAGGTGCTGCAGACAGTTCCCATGGGAACCTGGTGGTGGCAGTGGTTGGGGGCTGCACAGCTGCCTTTCTCTTCATCCTCGTCCTTGCCATCTTCTTCCTCCTTGCTGGCTGCAGACGTCAGATACAGAGAGATGAGTGCCCTGGTGGGGAAGGGTTTAAACGTCTTTATTTCTCAGTAGATGCCCTCAAATGCTCCTCAGTCAATTCCCTTCTTCCCCTCCTGCCCCCCCCTCACCCCTCCCCGGGTCATAGCCCCACCACATTCCTCTCCTTGTTTTGATGCAGCTGCCCCTGCCGAAAAGCATGAGGACATGGAGTTCCAGGTAAGTGTCTGGATCAGGGGACCCCAAACCCCAGTTTGCCCCTTGGAACACCTCCTGATCCCGTTTACAACCCCAAACCCTGTCACCATGGGGACCCCAGGGGATCCAGGGGAGCCTCATATGGATTGCCTTCGTGTTAAGCACACCACCCAGACCCAGACCATGAGGAACTCCAAATCCGCATCGTGGAAATGAATACCCCTCAGAACCTATGGGCCACTTTCACACTTGTAGGAAAAAAACCAAACATCACTCAGGCAGTGTCCCATTAACTCTAAACCCCAGGTTGACACTCTGCCTTCCCACTGTGTCCCCAGGTGCCTTCCAGTGACAGCGAGGGTCTGACCTACGTGGAGCTGCAAGCTGTGACCCCCAGCTCTCAGCCCCTCAACCCCCCCGCTGACCCCCAGCCCTCTGTTATCTACGCCGAGATAGCAGTTGGGAGGCATCACTGATGCCTCCATACGTGTGCACAGACACGTGTGTGTTATGTGCTCAAATGTACTGCCAGCGTGCACAGTGCAGGTGTGTTGTGTGTGCTTACCGTCACATGTGCACTGCATGCATGTATCACTGCATGTGTTCCTGTGTGTCACACGTGTTCACTGTCACATGTGCACAACAGTTACACCCAGACGTGTATTCCTGCTCTGAGCCTTGGCTGACTCCATTGCGGTATCTGTCCCTGCTGGCTGGGAGAGGTGTGACTCAGGAGACAGAGAGAGATTCACCTCCCTCCAAACCCCCTGAGAGGGACGGTGCACATGTGCTCCCTGTGCCTGCACTCTCCAGGCCCTCCCTGTGTCCGTGTGTCCTTACCATGTGCCCCACGTCAGCGCCACGTCTGTCCCTACAGCACACACACGTCCCCTTCCCGTGTGCGCATCTCCAGCTCCACATCCCAAACCAGCACCCCGCCCACAGTGAAGTTGGGACAGAATTCCCATTTCTGGAGCGTTTTATCCCACTTTCCTGGACGAGAGTTCTGATTCTGACGTGTTAGATTCTGCTCCATGAAAAAGGATTCCTATTTCTGGAAGGTTTTACCCTTCCTCTACCTCTGAAGGTCGTCATTCCTTCTTTTGGGGATATTTCTCAATTCTGGAGAGTTTCAACCAACCTTTGGTGGAAGATTTACCATTTCCAAATATTTTTACCCTCATTTCTGGTAGAATTATCCTTGTGGATTGTCCTTTGTGAAAGGTTTTATCCTGCGTTTTAGAGAGGATTCCCACTTCTGGATGGTTTTCTCCTGTTCTCATGGAGGGAGATTCCCATTCTGGAATATTTCATCCTGCCCGAAAAGGGCAGGATCCTTATTTCTACGAAGATCTGTGCTACTTTTTGGGGAGGATTTCTTCTTCTGCACAGTTTTATAGTTATGCTTCTGGAGGGCTTAATTCTCAATTCGAAGGCCAATTCCTGCTTCTGGGGGTTTTTATCCTGGATTTGGTGTTAAAAATACCCATTCTAGAGTATTTTTGCCTGCCTTTTGTGGTAGGATTCCCATCAGTGGAGTATTTTGTCCGTCCTTTGGGTGCCAGGATTCCCATTGCTGGAAGGTTTTACCTTTCTTTTATTTCATTCCAGCAGAAGCAGCTCTTGGGCACAAGGTTTTGCTGACAGTGATGTTGCAAATCCTTTGATAATTTCACAGCACCCAGCACTGACATCAGGGCTGAAGGACAGTGACACAGCTGTGAGGTCAGGCCAAACATGTCTGCTGTTTTGGTTTTAATTACCACCAAGGTTATTTATCTGTCAGGACACAGCTTCACTGATGCTCACACTGGTCTGCGGGTTTAAGTAGCAGAGTTTGGGTTGGGTTGGCTTATTTTTGGTGGTGGGGGAAAATGCATTTTGGTTCAGAAAAGGACAGAGGAGTTGTGGTGTTGGCCAGGAAATGGGGGAAAAGAGGAAGTTGGTGTGTGGGAACAGCAGTGAGGGGAAGGGCAGGGGAGCTGACTTCCCCCTTTTGGTAATGAAAGGGGAAATGCTGGAGGTTTTGTGAGCTCGATGGGGTGCTTAAAAGCTGGATGGAAGATTTGGGGACCATGTGGAGATTTGGGGTGTGCATGGAGATTTTGGAGCTGAAGGGAGATTTTGTGTTTGGGGCCTGGATGGCTATTTGGGGATGCACAAAGTTTTTGTGGTCTGGATGGAGGCTGTGGAGCTGGATAGAGAATTTTGGAGTAAATGGAGATTTCTGTGCGGCTGGAAATTTCTGGGGGGATAGAGATTGTGGGAA